TGTGTGTATGTATATGTATATGTATGGATATATAGTATATGTATACACATACATATGTATATAGTATGTAATATATATATATATATATAATGTATACAGTGAGGAAAATAAGTATTTGCACCCTTGCAAAACACCCTGCTATTTTGCAAGTTCTCCCACTTAGAAATCATGGAGGGGTCTGAAATTGTCATCGTAGGTGCATGTCCACTGTGAGAGACATAATCTAAAAAAAAAATCCAGAAATCACAATGTATGATTTTTTAACTATTTATTTGTATGATACAGCTGCAAATAAGTATTTGAACATCTGTCTATCAGCTAGAATTCTGCCTTCAAAATGTCCACCTCCACTCCATTTATTATCCTAAATTAGATGCACCTGTTTGAGGTCGTTAGCTGCATAAAGACACCTGTCCACCCCATACAATCAGTAAGAATCCAACTACTAACATGGCCAAGACCAAAGAGCTGTCCAAAGACACTAGAGACAAAATTGTACACCTCCACAAGGCTGGAAAGGGGAAATTGCCAAGCAGCTTGGTGAAAAAAGGTCTACTGTTGGAGCAATCATTAGAAAATGGAAGAAGCTAAACATGACTGTCAATCTCCCTCGGACTAGGGCTCCATGCAAGATCTCACCTCGTGGGGTCTCAATGATCCTAAGAAAGGTGAGAAATCAGCCCAGAACTACACGGGAGGAGCTGGACAATGACCTGAACAGAGCTGGGACCACCGTTTCCAAGGTTACTGTTGGTAATACACTAAGACGTCATGGTTTGAAATCATGCATGGCACGGAAGGTTCCCCTGCTTAAACCAGCACATGTCAAGGCCCGTCTTAAGTTTGCCAATGACCATTTGGATGATCCAGAGGAGTCATGGGAGAAAGTCATGTGGTCAGATGAGACCTAAATAGAACTATTTGGTCATAATTCCACTAACCGTGTTTGGAGGAAGAAGAATGATGAGTACCATCCCAAGAACACCATCCCTACTGTGAAGAATGGGGGTGGTAGCATCATGCTTTGGGGGTGTTTTTCTGCACATGGGACAGGGCAACTGCACTGTGTTAAGGAGAGGATGACCAGGGCCATGTATTGCGAGATTTTGGGGAACAACCTCCTTCCCTCAGTTAGAGCATTGAAGATGGGTCGAGGCCGGGTCTTCCAACATGACAATGACCCAAAGCACACAGCCAGGATAACCAAGGAGTGGCTCTGTAAGAAGCATATCAAGGTTCTGGCGTGGCCTAGCCAGTCTCCAGACCTAAACCCAATAGAGAATCTTTAGAGGGAGCTCAAACTAAGACTGACTAGACTGATCTAGAGAAGATCTGTGTGGAGGAGTGGGCCAAAATCCCTCCTGCAGTGTGTGCAAACCTGGTGAAAAACTACAGAAAACGTTTGACCTCTGTAATTGCAAACAAAGGCTACTGTACCAAATATTAACATTGATTTTCTCAGGTGTTCAAATACTTATTTGCAGCTGTATCTAACAAATAAATAGTTAAAAAATCATACATTGTGATTTCTGGATTATTTTTTTTTAGATTATATCTCTCACAGTGGACATGCACCTACGATGACAATTTCAGACCCCTCCATGATTTCTTAGTGGGAGAACTTGCAAAACAGCAGGGTGTTCAAATACTTATTTTCCTCACTGTATATATATATATATAATATACACACGTGTGTGTGTATATTGCACTTTTGTGTATATAGCAGTAAGTAAGTAAGTACGCAATACACTTCTTTAGAATTCATGATTAAATTTTTCAATTAATCCCCTTGCCTTTCCTCTAGCAGCACCAGCAGGTTGACAGTTTTGGCTTTTACTGAAATATCTCAACTATGGGATGGATTACCATGAAATGTGAATATAGATGTTGCCCAGAATATGACTCCCTACTTACTTTTATGATCCTCTGGCTTTCTCTGCGGTCCTTTGTTCATTGTTTGTTAATGTTATACACAGGGAGCTAACCGTGCAGCAGAGGAAGCAGAGAGGGAACGCCGGGACCGGGAAGACAGGCTGAGGCACGGCAGGAACCCAGGGGCCAGAGGAATACCTGCTGCATCGGGACGACCACGAGGAACCCAGGACGGAGCCCCTCCCACCCCGCTAACACCCACCTCCCACACAGGTCAGTTCACTCCAGCCTGCCTCATCTCCTCTGGACTCGGGACACTACATCTGTTGCGAAACCCTCAGTGTAGAGTGAAGTGTTTAACCTCTAGACTCTCTAGTGCCAGTGACCCAGTGTGTATCAAAACATGGTAAATAAAGTCCTGAGCTTTCCAGACCGGAAATATTCATCGGCCCACACAGTCCATCTGTGATTTTCTTTAGGAGGTTTCTACTCAGTTTCCACTCTGTTTCCACTTAACTAAAAAAAATATCTAAAAATGGCTCTGCTTACTAAGCGTCTTAATACTTGCGTTGCAGACAAAAAATTCCAACCTGCAAAAAAAATGTACAATGAAAAGCCACTCAAGGTTGGAGTTCCTACTTGTAAACTCAGGCCAAATCAACGACCTCCCCCCGACGTTTTAAGAACCACAGAGAGTTCAGAACCCACAGCAATTCATCAGTGATGGCCCCACTATTTCAGCTCCAGATAAATGGTCTTCTTCAGTTAAGTTACAGAGCAAATGTAAACAGCAGTATGGCATGCCCCAACAAACATGAGCCCAGCCCACAGTAATTCACTCTGTTATACTGAACACAGCACAGCACTAACCTGTCTGAAGTGTACAAAGTTTTTAGGCCTACATCAAAGTTTCCCCTGCACAAGCAGCTACACTGATGGAAGAAACCAGGATGCAAAGTGCTTCACAGTTACGACATGCTAGAAAGCTGCATCTAACAGACAGGACAGCAAAACAACTGCGAAAACGATGCACCACAGAGCCCATAAAATGTCTGAGCAGTTGTACCCAACCTTCACCGGCAATACAGCAACGCAGCATGGCAAGGAAAATAAGATCAATGTCATCACACTCATGGAGTGCAGATGGCATACTGTGGAGAAGAGAGGCCTGGTTGTACACACTGACCATCCTTCTTTGGGAGCCAGCCCAGATAGGATCCTTGATTCAACACAACTCCTTGAAATCAACTGCCCCTTCAAGAGTTTGATGTCCCTGGCAGAATTTCTGGGCCAGCCAAATGATGACCCCAAGTTTAAAGGCTGATTTTTGCCCCTGAATGAAAATAGAAGGGCCAGATGGTTAACTATTTATGGTCAGACTGAAGAACATTCAAAACAATTATATTTAAATAAATATGATTAGTAACTCTTTTTTTCTTAGTCCCTTTTCCTCAACAAAATAAACAACATAATAGAAAAATTAAGTGCTAATTAGTTTGTGATTCTAATAAATTAAATATTTATTGACGATATTTATTCATTTGGCTGATGCTTTTATCCAAAGCTACTTACAATTGCTAATTAGGTCGCACACCTCTGGATCAACTAGAGGTTAAGTGACACATGGTAGATGTGTCATAGCGGGGGATCTGGGTCTCTCACACCAAAGGCAGGCATCTTATCCATTGCACCACCATCACCACTATTGAACATTTGTTATGTTGTTATTGAGGAAAGTTTTATTGCGAAAATTAACATTATTTTTTTATCGGCCAGCCCTAATTTGAACCTTTTGTTGGATACACATCTTGTAAACTCTGTACACATTTAGAAATAACACATTATACTCTGAAACACACAAACACAGGAAGAACATGCAAACTCCAGACAGAAAGACCCATGGACAGATTCAAACCTCCCTCATGAATTTAAATTTAGGATATAATATTTAAACACACAGAGACAACACCTTGCATGTCTCTCTCCTTACATCTCTCTCTCCTTACATCTCTCTCTCTCTCTACTTACATCTCTCTCTCTCTCTCTCTCTCTCTCTCTCTCACCCCAACCGGTCGAGGCAGATGGCCGCCCACCCTGAGCCATGGTTCTGCTCGAGGTTTCTGCCTCTTAAAAGGAAGTTTTTCCTTGCCTCTGTCGCCTAGTGCTTGCTCTTGGTGGGAACTGTTGGGCTTCTGTAAATAACATCACAGAGTACGGTCTAGACCTGCTCTTTTATGAAAAGTGCTGTGAGATAACTGTTGTTGTGATTTGGCGCTATATAAATAAAATTGAATTGAAATTAAAGAACGACACAGGCAGGAAGATGTTAAACATAAAATCTTACTGATCTAAGTGCTGTCACCAGGGCTAAAGCTGGAATCCTCTCAGTTGTTGTCCAAGCGTGATCTCTGCATGGTGTGCAGGCATGCAAACTCCTTACCTTTTCCGTGAAATTAGCAGTTTTGAAACCAAAATGTGTCACCTAGGTGACTTGTGCAGATCCTATGAGAAAATATTTGGGGGGGGTCAGTCATTGCTAAGATAGCATTTAGGCCTCTACAGTCCACTCCTGTCTAGTATTAGGCTTTGCAACTTTACAACAGGCTGTGCCTAACCAACTTTTTTGCAAGTCCACTACACTGCAGAGTCTGACAGCTGAATACGTGAGGACGGTAAAAGACTGCCAAACGAACTGTCCGTCAGAAAGCAAGCCTGATGGAAGACAGAAGTAAGCTAGCTTACAACTGTTATGTTGCCAATTTTATTACTTTGCCCACTGTTATTAACCAGTATTGGTTTTTTTAAAACCTGTCCAGCCCAGCAGCCTGGTATAGAGTATGATGAGCTGGATACCATATTGTGCCAGACAGATTTTACTTTAACAAGAGAGTATTAATATACTACTTTGTCTGTTTTATTATTTCTTTAATTATGTATTGATTTGTCACCAGGCCGGACAGGAGGGGCAGACATGGGGATGGGGGGGGGGCCACAAACATCGCACAAACAGACAGCATAGAGAGGACACCTGCAAGAGAAGGGGGATGGAGGGTGGGGACAACAGGGAATAGCAGAGGGAAACACCAATTGCAGAAAGCAACAAAACCTGCAATAGAACGGGGAGGGGGGCCTGGGCCGGAGAAAGAGAAAAACAAACAAAGGAGAGATGCCAGCCGGCACCAACCGCCCCCACCCCCCCGCAGCCAGGGAGACCACAGACCCCTACCTACGGATACACTGTGACCCACACCACACGTTCACCACCGGACAGAAACCCACCGCAAACATCCCTCCTCCACCAACACCATGCCGCCAATCAAAATAAAAAAAAATCGATACCCCGACACCCATCAGTCAAGTCAGAATCCCCCACGCCCGCACCACGATTCATCCAAGAATCGACCCACCCCCAGACACACCTACCGGCCGCACGGGAGCCTGAGCAGCAAGGCCGTAAACACCCACCCCCACTAAGTGATAAAGTTGATCAAGGGGGACCAGAGAGATTGGAATTGTTTTTTGTTTTTTTTATAGCACACATTCTCTCCATGCTAATGTGATCTATAAGGAGATTCCTATATTGGGCAATACTTATATTCTTTTTGGCCTTCCAGTTCATGAGGATAGTTTTCATGGCGATGCATAAGGCAGTGAGAAGCATGTATGATGTGTCAACCTCTATACTAATGTCACTTAGGTCCCCCAGCACGCAGAGTGATGGGGAAACTGGGACGGGGTAACTTAGCCATATTGATAGGTCTTCACGTATCTTCTGCCAGAACTTTTGAACAGGTGCACATTGCCACATAGCATGCATGTAACTCAGATATGTTACCTGAGCAGTTCCGGCAGATGTTTGACTGCATAAGACCCATTCTGAACGTCCTTTGTCCAGTATAGTGTGTTCTATGGAGAGTTTTATATTGTATGAGATAACGGTTTTGGAGGCGAGAGTTTAAGAAAGTCTGTTATCATTGGAGGTAGATCTAAGTCCATTATGTTATCCTTAAATCTTGCCTGAATTATGGATTTAAACTGTTGAAATTCAAGAAATCTATTATGGCTAATTCCATATTGTGCCACTAGATCTTGGAATGGAATAAAGTTACTGCCTTGCATTACATGCTCTAGATGTTTTATCCCTTTGTCATACCACAGTGGGGAATTTAGTGTTTTCTTATTTTGCAGGATGTCAGGATTATTCGAGATTGGAGTAAATCTGCATGGGATAGGTGAAGACCCAGATATTTTGAGAAATTCCCACCAAGCTGCCAGGGAAGTGCTTATGTTAATGCTTTTAAAGCAGGTATGATTTTGATGCTGGAGCTGATCAATGGCATATCGGAAATTTTATTTTCCTTACAGAATGTTTGTTCTATGTCCATCCATGAGTGGTCCAGGGGGCTCTGATTGATCCATTGTGAGATATATTGTAGTCTATTGGACAGGAAGTAATGATAAAAATTTTGCAGTTCTAAACCACCACAATCTTTTGCTTTTTGCAGAGTTTTTAAACTGATTCATGGGGGTTTATTTTTCCACAAAAATTTTGAGATGTTTGAGTCCAGTGATTCAAACCAGACAGCAGAGGGGGGTTTGGTGGGTAACACTGAAAACAGGTAATTGATTTTAGGTAGGACCATCATTTTTATGGTGGAGACTCTTCCCATGAGTGATACGATGTCCTTTGTACAAGGTCATCCTCTATTGATTTAAGTAAAGTCGTGTAGTTTAGCCATATCAGTTCTGACAGCCTGGAGGAAATATTGACACCCAGATATTTAATATTCCCAGACTTTAGCTGTGTGGTAGATATACTCTGGAAATCACACATTACAGGTAAAACTATGAATTTACTCCAGTTAATGAAGTAGTCTGAAATGGATGAGAATTTATCTATAAGTGTCCCAGTCCCAATCATCACCCCACACAGTCAGCTGTGGAGTGCCACAAGGGTCCGTCCTAGGTCCGACCCTTTTCACCATCTACTTACTACCCCTTGGTCACATCATCCATAAACACAAAGTTTCATTCCACTGTTACGCAGACGATACACAATTATACATGAAATTGGACTCCACACTCCCCTCAGCTCTGCCGTCTGCACTTTGCAGAGGTCTCCCACCAGGTTTGCCTGGAGGAGATAAGGGCATGGATGTCTGACAACTTTCTTCAATTAAATAGCAGCAAAACCGAAGCCATCCTGATCGGTACCCCACACCAAACCCAGTCCTCCTCCCTCAGCAGTATACCCATCTTTGGTCATCACATTG